CTTTCATTCCTTGGCTCCAGAGCCCTTCCTAGGAGCTAAGCTGCTGACTAGCAGCTTTCTGGTTGCTCTGTCTCTGCCCCTCCTCCCTCAACCTCAATCACACATTCGTGAATAGGGGAGCCGGGGTACCTGTGTAATCTGAGGGGGCTTTGTTTCCTTGGTTTCATGCCTTTTCAGATCCCTTCCAAGAGCTGGGGGCAGGAGAGGTCAGCTGGGCAAAGCCCACAGATTAGTTCCCACTTTCCATGCCTCATTCCCTGAATGCACCTGGCAACCACTATGTCTGCTTTTCATTGCACTTCCAGGAAGGGAGCCAGTGCCAAAGGACTTGCACCTGAACCCCATCACCAACTGTCTACTTAAGAATGATTGGCGTCCCCCTGCTCTCTGGCGGTTCAGCGCAGTTTGCAGGGCTAGGGGGTTAGGCATAAAGCCTCAGCAGGGGCTGCTTCACTTATTAAGTATTTGGGGAGGCCAGAAGTGGGGTGTTACCTACCACACCTCCTCTTACCTCTTTGGGGAAGAGGAAGGAATGAGATAGGGTGGAGCTGGGTGGGACTGGGACAGAAAAGTGTAGGTAGGGTGGGACAGGACAGGATAGGGTAGGGAGGGGTGGGGTTGTGGATCAGGAAGTGTGGTAAATCTGGACGTTGTGCTGGAAGATGCCTGGATTTTGCTGTCACTGCTGCATGGATTCAGGCAAGTTAACTGTACCTTTCTGGACCTCAATTTCCTTATCTGTAAAATGGCTAGATTTCTCAAAGCTTCAAGATTCCATGTTTCTGGATCCTTTGATGATGAGAACTTTGGGTGATATATTCCCCTGGATGGTGGTAGCATTACGGTGGTTAGGAGGGGAGCTCTGGCATCAGGCTGCTTTGGTTTTATCCTTTAATAGCTGTGTGGTCTTGGGAGTTACTTAATTTAACACCCTGAGCCTCCGTCTCCCCAGGTATGAATTGGGAATAGCGATCCTTGCGATGGTGCTGGTGTGATGAAGTTGTAGTTCCCGTGGAGCGAAGGTGAGAACTGTATATATAAACAAAATCACCCCTGAAAAGCCTGAAATCCAAATGCCCACCCCATGAGAAGCCCATGGAAACTTGGAATCAATCGAGGGAACGTCATGCTCTGCTTGTGGGGAAGGGCAGGAAGATTCACCCACACAGTTTAAACGTTTCCCCCTTAATTTGTTCTGAGATTTTGATGGAACTATCTGTTAAATGCACATAGTAAGTAAACGGTGGTTATTTTCATAATTTTGTTTGCAAAGTATCTAGCAGAATATTCATTTATATGTAGCTGTTCAGCAGCATTCAACAAGTGACACTGCAAGAAAAACAAAAAACAAAAATCCAGCATTTATCTGTTGGGATGATTGTCGGCCAGAATGAAAACGCTCTTCTTTGTATACACAGTTTGTTCTTCAGGGTTCAGTCTTTATTACATAAGAGAAGTGCTTGCTTTACCTAAGGACTGATATGAAGTTTATCCCCTGAGTCCAAAGCAAACTAATAGTTTTTTTAAAAGTAAAGTGTATAAAAGATTAACAGACTAAAAACCCAATTCCAGGTTCAAATAACATAGTACAAATGGAAATTTGGTAAAAGGTTATACCAGATTTGTCGCAATATGGAAAAAAAAATTACAGCCTAGAAACTTTATCCAAAGGTGACTCGGATTACCCATTTTTAAAAAGCTTCCATTTTATTATCAAGTAAAATTCTGGTGGTGTTCTTCAGTGCGTTTGAAAATATTTTTCAACTTTGCTGAACCACAATTTACACTCAGTAAACACATTCCTTGTAAGTGTACAGTTGGATGACATGACAAATGTATACACCAAAACACACTTTTAATCCTAAAGTTAATCTAGAGAACAAAGATCTGAGAAACCAGAGAGGATAATGGTCTCCTTTCTCATTCAAAAGAAGTGTCCATAAAGGAATACTGCCTGCTTTGCAATTCAAAACTGAAAATGTACCAGAATTAGGATGTTTAGTTTGTGTTGAAAAGGTGGCTGATAGTTTAAACCGGAGGGGGTGAATCACAGGCTGGAAAGAGCATCTGGTTTCTACTACAGGCTCCACCACTTACTTGTGTGACCTTGGGCAAATTAGCTCAAACTTGATTGTCTCAGTTTCCTCACCTGTAAATTGGGGAATAATGACAGTAGCTACCTTAAAGTAAGTAGGTCAGATTAACAGTAAAGCTTTTACGACAGTGCATGGAAAATAGTAAATACTTAGTAAATCTTAACTATTAGATCAATGTCTGTACAGTGGCTAGACTGATCATGAGGTTTGCTGCCCCTTGGAAAAAACCATCTTTGTTTTAGGGCAGTGGTTCTCAAAACTTTTTGGTCTTAGGGTCTCTGTATGCTCCTAAAAATTGAAGACCCCAAAGAGCTTTTGTTCATATAGATTATATCTATCAGTGTATACTGTACTTGAAATTAAAACAGAAATTTGAGATGTTATTAATTTATTTAAAAATAACAACAACCCTGTTACACAGTAACATAAATAACATTTTTTAGGAAAAATAACTGTCTTCCAGAACAAAAAAATTTAGAAGAGTGCATTATTTTACATTCTTACACATCTCTTTAATATCTGGTTTAATAGCAGATAAGTAAGATTCTCATCTGTTTGTACATTTAATTTGTTGCGAGATGTTGTTTTGGTTGAGGTATACAAAGAAAATCCAACTTTATCACAAATTAATTTTTTAAATTTTATTGTGAAAATATACATAACAAAACATATGCCATCTCAGCTACTTCTACCTGTACAGTTCAGTAACACTGATTATATTCTTCAAGTTGTGCAACCATTCCACTATCCTTGTCCAAGTCGTTCTGTCACCATTAACATAACCTCAATGTAGGAAGAGCATTTTAATAGCTTTTTCAGTGGATAGTCTTTGATACTACACCAAAACTCGAAAAGCCCAACCTTGTACTAGTAGTAGTATCAGTATCTCAAAGCTTAGTTGTAATGTGGAATAATGTGGAATCTGAAACCATATCAATGAACTTTTTTTTGTACCCTGTTATATTAAAATCCATTGGTCTATCTTGTACTTGGATTGGATCTTTTTTACTGCACGACTTTGTGACCTCAAGCTTTGGTTATTTGGAAAATATTGGTTCATTGATTATGCATCTCCTCCAAATGTTCACAATTCCATTATACAGTATAAAAAAGTACATTTGTTAACATCACTACTGATCTCAACAGAAAAATCTTTGAGTATTGGGAAACTGTCAAGCTCACCTGTAGTGGATACAGGCTTTCCAGAGTTATAATTCTCAAATGAAACGTCAAAATTTATCATGGGCAGTAAAGATTGTCAGCAGTTTTCTTTGAAGTGACTGGCTTACTGCATTCATTTTTGAGAATATGTCTACCAAATATACCCAAGTCTAAATGACCAGTGTCTGTTAGTCTTTCAAGTAAAAATCATATTCCATGAAAAGAAAAGCAGCTAGTCCATCACTCAACCCAAACAATCTCACAAGTGAGACAATCATACTTTAGTATGCAGTGGAGTGCTCCATGAGTACTCCCCATTTTATCCATCCAAATATTGAGAACACTGATTTTTAATAAAATGAATAATTTTCACTGCATCATGGACATTCTTACATGAAACTAGCTTTTTTTTTTTTTTTTTTTTAAACTGAGAGTACATGGTGATTCTGGTACAGTTTGATGCCGTTGTCTTGATTTGTGCTAAGGTACCACAGTTTCACTAAATGTCAATACAGGGGAAAAAGCAAATAATATCTTAATATTCTCTTCATATATCTTAGTATTATTATAAGAATAGTTCAATTTGCAGACCCCTGACAAAGTCTCAGGGAACCCTAGGAGTCTGTGCACCATACTTTGAGAATCACTGTTCTAGGGAAACGCAAACCCATTTTGACTAAATATGATTGTAATCCTTTGAACAAGTACAAGAGTACAGCTTTTACAGATATAATATATAATAACTAACACTTCTGTAGTACTTGACTATGTGCCAGGCACTGTTCTGAGGGTGGAGATATATCTCTATATCTCTGGAGCCCTGGTGGCGCAGTGGTTAAGAGCTCGGCTGCCAACCCAAAGGTCAGCACTTCAAATCCACCAGCAGCTTCTTGGAAACTCTATGGGACAGTTCTCTGTCCCGTAGGGTCACTATGAGTCAGAACCGACATGACGGCACCTAACAACAACAATATATCTCCATCCTTTATTTTTATTATCTCATGCCTACCACAACCCTATAAAGTTGTTGCCTTCGAGTCAGCTCTTATTCATGGTGACCTTATGTACAACAGAACAAAACATTGGCAAGTCCTGTGCTCTCTTCATGATCATTGGTATGTTTAAATCCATTGTTGCAGATATTGTGTCAATCTATCTCACTGACAGTTTCCTTCGTTTTTGTTGGCTCTATACTTTATCAAATGTGATGTTGTTTTCTAGCAATTTTTTTCTGATGACGTGTCCAAAGTAGGCAAGTTGAAGTCTCACCAATGTCACTTCTAAGGAACATTCTGGTCATATTTCTTCTAAGACTAATTTTGTTCTTTTGGAAGCCTGTGGTATATTTAATATTCTTTGCCAATACCACAGTTCAAATGCATCAATTCTTCTCCTGTCTTCTTTTTCCTTATCCAACCCTATAAAGTAGATACTTCTACTATTGTCCGCATTTTACAGAAAAGGAATCAGAGGCATAGAGAGGTTAAGTAACTTGCCCAGGGTGACCAAGCTAATGTCAGAGCCAGGATTCAAAGCCAGGCTCCAGAGGCCATACGCTTCATCAGTATGATCGATTAAACACATCCAAAGAGGCAATTAGTTATTATCTCCTAATAACTATTAGGAACGGGAGAGGATAGACATTACCTTTAGGGAGAAGGTGCAGAAGTTAACAGGGCCACCAATGCTGGGTATCGGGTACTTTTGCTCTGACTTCTGTCCTCTACCCTTTGTCCAGGTAGGATGACTTCCCGGGACCAGCTGGTGCAGCAAGTGCTGCAGGAGCTGCAGGAAGCGGTGGAGTCCGAGGGCCTGGAGGGGCTCGTGGGTACCGCCATCGAGGCTAAGCAGGTCTTGTCTTCCTTCACCCTTCCCCAATGCCGGGAGGGGGGCCCCGGCCCGCAGGTGCTGGAGGTGGACTCAGTGGCTCTGAGCCTGTACCCGGAGGACGCTCCGCAGAACATGCTGCCGCTGGTGTGCAAGGGTGAGGGCAGCCTGCTGTTTGAGGCGGCCAGCATGCTGCTGTGGGGCGACGCAGGCCTCAGCCTGGAGCTGCGCGCCCGCACCGTGGTGGAGATGCTGTTGCACAGGCACTACTACCTCCAGGGCATGATCGACTCCAAGGTGATGCTGCAGGCAGTGCGCTACTCTCTGTGCTCCGAGGAGTCGCCCGAGATGACCAGCCTGCCATCTGCCACGCTGGAGGCCATCTTTGATGCGGACGTCAAGGCTACCTGCTTCCCTAGCAGCTTCTCCAATGTGTGGCACCTGTACGCACTTGCCTCTGTGCTTCAGCGCAACATCTACTCGATTTACCCGATGCGCAACCTTAAGATCCGGCCCTACTTTAATCGCGTCATTCGGCCGCGCCGCTGCGACCACACGCCCTCTACGCTGCATATCATGTGGGCGGGCCAGCCCCTCACCAGCCACCTCTTCCGCCACCAGTACTTTGCCCCAGTGGTGGGGCTGGAGGAGGTGGAGGTGGAAAATGCTGCCAACCTGCCCCCGGCCCCGTCAGCCCTGGCCTCACTGCCACCGCCGGCCAAGACTCTGGAGCGGCTCAACCGCGAGCCTGGCCTCAGTTACTCGCACCTCTGTGAGCGTTACAGTGTCACCAAGAGCACCTTCTACCGCTGGCGGCGGCAGTCCCAGGAGCACCGGCAGAAGGTGGCTGCCCGCTTCTCGGCCAAGCACTTCCTGCAGGACAGCTTCCACCGCGGGGGTGTTGTGCCGTTGCAGCAGTTCCTGCAGCGGTTCCCCGAGATCTCCCGCTCCACCTACTACGCCTGGAAGAACGAGCTACTGGGCTCTGGTGCCTGCCAGGCCCTGGCCCCCAGGGAGGCGCTGGCCGTAGAGGAGCTGGAGAAGTTGCCAGAGGAGCAGGGTGCCAAGGGGCTGGGGTGCCCCTCGCTAGCATCAAGCCCTGGAGTGGTCTTAATGCAACGGGCCAAGTTGTACCTGGAGCACTGCATCTCCCTGAACATACTGGTGCCCTATCGCTGCTTCAAGCGCAGGTTCCCCGGCATCTCCCGGTCCACCTACTACAACTGGCGCCGAAAGGCCCTCCGGAGGAACCCCAACTTCAAGCCGACAACGTCCCTCTCGGCAGCCGGGGCTCCTCAAGCAGCCTCCGTTGGGGAAGAGTCTCTGCCTCCCTGGAAGGGTGAGGTTGGAGAGGGAGCAGAGAAAGCAACAGGTGGGGGGCCTTCTGCACCCCGGGAATTCCTGCCCTTGAAAATGCCCCTGTCCCGCTGGCAAAGGCGTCTGCGCAGGGCTGCCCGCAAGCAGGTGCTGAGCGGGCACCTCCCCTTCTGCCGGTTCCGCCTCCGCTACCCTAGCCTGTCACCGTCCACCTTTTGGGTCTGGAAGAGTCTTGCCCGAGGATGGCCCAGAAGCCTGTCCAAACTCCAGAGGGAGGCCCCTGCCTTGGGCAAAGGGGGGGCGCAGGATGCAGAGGGGAAGCCGGAGAAGGAAGCTGACAAGAGCGTGACGGCGGCAACGGCCCCACCCAAGGGGGTCCTACAGGTAGGGGCTTCTCCAGGAGACACTTCGCTGGAGGCTCAGGGAGGGCCTTCCCGAGAGGGGGCCATGGCCCAGGGCCCACCCCACAGTAGGTCCCCATCAAACTACTCTGTGGCAGCAGGTGATAGGGACGGCCAAGTGCTGGTGATGGACATGATTGCCACCACAAAGTTCAAGGCCCAGGCCAAGCTGTTCTTGCAAAAGCGCTTCCAGTCCAAGAGCTTCCCCTCCTACAAGGAGTTCAGCGCCCTCTTTCCCCTCACTGCCCGCTCTACCTACTACATGTGGAAACGGGCCCTCTATGATGGCCTCACCCTGGTCGATGGCTGATGGGGGTGGGGAGGCTTCCTAGATGCTGGGAGGAAGGGGGAGCAGTTGGACTGGGTCCTGGACCTGAGTTGCCTCCTGCCCTGCTAGGATGCCCTTTGCTCTGGCTCCGACAGTGTCTACACTGGATCCAAGGTGTATTTGTGTTGTTTCCTGGCTTCAGGGAACAGAGCCAGAAATCAGCCAGTTGGTCTCCTGCAGAGAGCTACAGGACCAGGAATATTCTCTTTAGTTGGTTTAATTTTAATTTTTATTATTGTGTTTTGGTTTTAGTTTTTTGTTTTGATTTCAGTGGAATGGATGGGCCCCTTGCTGGTGTTTGCAGCTTTATGTACATATGGGGGGGTGGGGTGGGGAGGGATTGGTTAACCGAAGCTGCTTTCTGATCTCCGTGGGGGCAAAAGGAGTATTACTGTGGCCATCTGTCCTGTTGGGCAGAATATATGTCCTCAGTTCCTTTTGCGAGTTGGCGCCCTCCTTACTCAAAGATATTTCCCAAAGGAATATTAGAATCAAGTCTGGGTCAGGTTAGTGGCTTCTGATGCTCAGCCTGAGCAGAAGCAGGAATGTATAGGAAGAACCAAGGATGGCCTCTAAGGGAAGGTTATGGGCCAATCATTGAGATGCAGGCCCTGTTTGGGGGGAGAAGACCCAGAATCTCCTCTTGCTGGTGCCTGACCCATTTGCTGTGGACCCCATAGTCCTCTGTAGTCTGGCTGGCTGTTGGGGACCCTGCCTTTCTGCTGGCCTCTCCCTGGCACCTCTTTGCCCCATCTTCAGAGAAGGGATCACACAATGACCAGGCGGGTGGGAGACTGAACTTGGATTGTCTCAGAATGAAGTTGGAAAACCAAGAAATAAAATAAAGTGACATGGCACGTGCAGCCCTTGGTGTCTGGTGTTTGTTTTGCCAGGATGTGACTGCCCGTTCCCATGTTCCCTGTTGGTTTGATGGAATTGAAAGTGACCATTTCTCTCTCTTGATGGAACTCTCTCAGGTCCAGGGCTTGGGGGATGGAAGGAGGTACCTGATACCCTGGGGACTCTGCTTAGAGTTAGATCTGAAAGTGATCTTGGTGCTTCCAGCCGGGAGTGGGGCTGTGGCTGCCTGGAAGACACCTCCCAGCAGTTGGAGAAACCTGGCATTTTACGTGTACTCAGAGCCCAGGCCAGCACTCAATCTGAATCATCGTTGGATTTTCCAACTCTAATGAGGTCCACCTGAGTCTGGCCTACTTTTCCATCTCATTTCTCCCCACTGACCCCCGACACTGCCCTTCCATCCAGACTTTGTTCCTACCTGCTCTTCCCTTAAACCTGTAAACCACTGCACCACAAGTGCTCTGGTTAAGAGCTTGGCTGCTCACCAAAGGGTCAGCAGTTCGAATCCACCAGCCACTTCTTGGAAACCCTATGGGGCAGTTCCTATAGGGTCACTATGAGTCGGAATTGACTCAACAGCAACAGATTTGGTTTTGGTTGAGCTCTTAACCACTGCACCGTCAGGTCTCCACTCTTCCCTTGCCATGGCGCTAACCGGGTCGCTTTGTCATTGCTTTTCTCACTGCACTGAGCTCTGTGAGGCAGGATGTGTACCTTGGTCTCCACTGAATCCTCAGCAATGGGCACAGTGTAGTCATCCAGTAGTCCCTTAACCTTTGGTGAAGGGATGGACAGGATGTTCTATCTGGCTTAATTGTTCTGCAATAGCCACCTACAACCAGCAGGTGGCAGTCTGGTGCAGCAAGAGACAAGCCTCTGGGTTTCAAGTAGTCACAGCCCTTTATGGCTGGTCCTCACTTCCCTTGCTACCTTGGCCCTCAGGGAATGGCACCTGCTCCCTTCCTGAAGACTACCCTGGTGGGCTCTGGATTCTCCTGTTTATTTCCTTCCTTGTGCTCTCAGACAAGAGCAGGTCTTCTGATGTGTAGAACAGTGTCCACAGTAGAGTCTAAAACCACTTGGATCGCACTTAGATCTCCTTCAGGGAGCTCAGTAGGACTGTGGATTCCAGGGCCCCATCCAGACCTGCTGATTCCAACCTGAGATGTTGGAGAGGCAGTGTATGCACATGGGTAAGTTATTTAACCTCGCTGTGCCTCATTTTTGCATCTGTAAAATGGGATTGGAAACCCTGGTGGTGTAGTGGTTAAGTGCTACAGCTGCTAACTAAAAGGTCAGCAGCTTGAATCTACCAGGCGCTCCTTGGAAACTCTGTGGGGCAGTTCTACTCTGTCCTGTAGGGTCTCTATGAGTCCGAATCAACTCGACGACGAGTTTGGTTTTTTTTTCAAATGGGATTACAATAATGCCTATAGTATAGTACCTTGCACATGGTAGGTGCTAGATGAACATTTACTATTAATTATTAACAATGACGTCTGGTTTGAGAACCACTGGGAGTCTAATTCCTGTTTACTAGGAGGAAGCTGATGGCCAAGGAGACTTGCTCAAGGTTACCCTCCAGGTTAGACAGTCCTGTACCAAGACTGAAAGGCCTTTTTGTAGGATGCCAGCACTGAACCCCAAGCCCATAGGGAGATATTTTAACTTCTGTTGGGAAAATTATAAAAATGGTATGTCAGTATTTATTGATTTGGTTAAATTATTCTTGTACAGAAAAGCTGTTTCCTTTATAATCTTCTTAGAAAGGCAGGGTTACCTAAGCCTTGACCACATTTGCTAAGAATACTTTGTGCTGATTTTGAAGTGGATACTTTGCTGAAATTATTTCTATTTTTTTGCCCCAATTTCTGTCTTGGATGCAGATGTAGAAAGAAATTCCAGTGAAATGAACAATGTGTGAATAAAGGAAGAAACAGAATGTGTGAGGTTAACTCTGTATCTTCTTCCAACATTCTGTGCAGTTGTAAAGTAAAACAACTCATTCTAAAAATTAAAAATGTAAAAACTTCACTCTAAAAACACAATTTGGTGAAACATGAATAATTTAAAAAAATGATATCTCTATATCCCTCAAAGGTGGAGATCATCTTGTCTACTATGTATGAGGTTGCTCCTCAGATAGTTCTCTGGAGTCCAGCATTCAAGCCCCCGGTATTGCTGGTGGCTCTTTGGCCCTGAGCCCACTGCCCCTCCTAGATGGTCCACCAACACCTCAGTCTCTCCAAGTACCTATCTGGGCTCATTTCCCCACTCCCCACCAACCCATCTTCAAGTTTTTTCATCCTGGTTGCTGCAGCATCAGGTTATCTGTTGAACTGGCCTTAAAGCTGGGAGTCATCCTAGACTTTACTCTCCCCCGCACTTCCATTCCAGTAGGACTCCAGGAAGGAGCCCTGGTGGGCCAATGGTTAAGCACTCAGCTGTTCAAACCCACCAGCTGCTCCATGGGAGAAAGGACCTACTGATCTATTATTCCATTAAAGATTTCAGCCTTGGAAACCCTATGGGGCAATTCTACTCTGTCCTATAGGGTCTGTATGAGTTGTAATCGACTTGATAACCTACAACAACAACAGAAACCTAGGAGGAGTCCCTAGGTGGTGCAAATGGTTATGCGCTCAGCTACTAACTGAGTGGTGTTTTTTTTTTTTTTTTTTTAATTTGAAGAAACATTGCAGGCCTCACATGGTTCCACACTGCTGGGTTATCACAAAGAAGAGAATTTGATGGGCCAGTCCATCCTCATCCTTTCTCCTGAGCACAGGTTTCATGCCAGGTCACATCTGAGGCCATTGGCCAGCCCAAAATCTGGGCTGATTGTCTGCGGCTGAGGTGCTTGGTCAGCCTTGCTCATGAGGGGCCGGGCAGGTATTATAGGCTCCTACCTGGCAACTATGATGGGCTAAGCCCTGTGCTGTAAGCTGAGGATATCGGACCATTTGACCTCCACTCTCGTCCTTGTGAAGGACAGCTGTGGTGTGACACGTAATAGAGACTTCCGTACAGAATGCACACAAGGGCGCATGGGGTCACCCAAGAGGGCATGCTGGCTTTGCCTGACGTCAGTATCTCATCCTGACCCCCTCCAGACCTGTAGCTTCTTAGGGCCAACTCTTCTCTGAAGTGTAGGCTGCCTGCGGGATCTCCAGGAAATGCCTTAGTTGCTCCCCACATGGCCCTGATTGCTGGTTTTAAAGCCCTTACCCCAGGCTGGTGGCTGTCACGGGAGGATGGGAAGCTGAGGAACAGGGGCCCTGACACAAGCCAGTTGTTAGGATGGTGCTGGATGGTGTAGAAGCAAAGCTCAGGTAGTGAATGCTAGCAGGGACTTGGTGCTGACTGGCCGTTCCAACAGGAAAATCCTTCCAATGAGATTTCCCCTCTCCAGCCAGATTTCCCCTCTCCAGCCCCTGCTAGGGACACCCCAGGAGGCCTCTAGGGTGTCACTAGCAGGCCCCTAAATGTTCCTGTTGCTGGTTTCTCTCATGGAAGAGGAGGAGGGATGCTTTCAGGGAGATGAGAAGCAGCAGAAAGTAGGTTTAATGTTATAAAAATTTTTCCATGGAAAATGACTTTGAAAATAGCATGAAATCCGCTTAACTCTAGCAGCTTCTCCCTGCCAGGCAGAGAGAGTTGGGGGGTGGAGATAGGAGGGCAGCCAGGAAGAGACTGTGCAGCTGTCTGTTTCCTACCCTCTTCCTGAGAAGACCACTGGGAGAGCAGAGGGCTGCAGGGGGCTCCCCTGTGCCTCACCTGTCCAGACTGCAGGCTGGGGTGCGGGGCAGGGACCAGGAGGAGGGATGGAGAGCACAGACTGCCGGGAGTGTGTTGGGAGGCATATGGAGAGCACCCAGGCCTGGGTGGCTCTGGCTCCCCTTTCGCTCTTCTGCCCCTAGCCCAGCTTAGTTCAGAAGAGGGTACTGCTGCAGCTCTGTGACCAGTCAACCAAGCTCAGTTTCTAGGGCCCCTGACTTTGGACCAGTTATCTGTTGTAGTCACTTAAGTCAGAATTGAGGGACAGTGAGTAAGGGGGTACACGAGGCTGCATTGCAGTATCCAGGACCAGCCCTGATGGCTGTGGAGTCTGCTGGTCTCAG